TGTGAATGCAAACACTTCCCCGGCTCTCCGTGTGAGTGTATCCGTGTGAGCGGTTCCCCATACCGCGATGTATGTATGTGTAAATTGTGTGAATGTAAATATAGATAGGCCATATGTCCCCAAAGTCCCAAAAGAGCATCTCATGTTGATATGTCGACAGTGTGTTAAGGACCTTCCTAATTAATAACCCAGATTAAAAACCTCTTGGCAATCAATTAAGATTAATGACAGAAGTCATTCTGCCTCCCCCTCCACGCGCATCTCAGGCTGTGAAAACCCCGGGTCGGGAAACTTTAATCCTGTTATCTGCTGCCTCCTTCATCTGCAAAGCCTGGAGATTAGCTCAGCAGCCATTCCCGAATCCCAGCCAGCCGCTCGGACAGCTGCCCTGCCTTGGCAGTTCACGGGGAGGAATAATCTGGGTAGGGTACGGGCACAGACCTGGTGTATCAGTCTCTCCTGCAGCCCACTCCACAAAAAGGGTGTTATGAGGAATTAAGAAATAAAATGTTTGTTCCCTATGAATCCTGCGCAGTGAAACACACAGTGATTACCAGTCCCTGCCCTGCCCACAGAAATGTTTCCTTTAGCTCAGCCTGGGGGGCTGCACTGCCCATGCAGTGGCAGGAAGGTGTGTGACAGCTTTGGCACGTCCGTGCTCCAGCCAGCACTGCTGTTCCTTTCTCCATGGGCACCACCTTGCATTGCCATGGCCTCAGAACTGACCAGCAGCTTTGTTTGTTCCTCCTCTCACTCCTACCAGTGTTCACAGAGGGATGGGTCCCGAAGGCTCCTTTAAAGAGAGCAGCAGACTCATCTGCACCAAGAAAGGCAGTGCCAAGAGCAGCTGCCTATGTAGTTTTGGAAAATATCCCTGTTTTTTCTGACACCAGCACAACATCCTCTCTTCAGCAGGATGGTCCCTCCCACTTCCACTGACTGACAGCAAACCTATCTTCTATGAGAGCCACTCCTGCGGGATGAGCACCTATGGGGCCGCCAGGCCGGACCCTCCTGAGGGCAGCCTCAGCCCAGCTCACAGGGTGAAGCCATGATTCCACTGACCAGGAGCACCCCTCTGGAGGAAGCACTGCTATCCACATGGTTCAGATCCAGGCTTCTTTTGGCCCTTCAGCACGACAGAACTCCGGTAAATTCATGACTGATAACTGTGTTATCTCTTGCCTTTCAGTCACTATTTTAACTAAAGGGGCAGGTGTGTCTTCCAAAAAAGAGGACTTTTTTCCTTTAGGGAGGCCACAGGACAAATATTTTCTGGTATTAAGTACAGTGCTTCACTCAGCAGGAATGCATCACTTTGTGCTGGGGACCAATCCTGAACTCTGGCTAAACAGTGCAGACAGAAAAGAATACTCTTACAGGTGCTTTCCTCCACTTGCTCTAACTGTGAACTGAAGAATTTTAACAGTAATACAGGTCTATTCTGGAAGTTTAAGAGACATTTTTGTGCCAGTTAAGCTCTCCAGTCTATACAAACAAATAACCACTTAACAAATGGCAGTTGCATTATTTTAGCAGGAAACATTTAAGGGAAAGTGGTGCTCCAGCTTCCTTCTCGTACTTAAGTTTTGCATCTCCTTGCAATTGCAGCAATTTAGAAGATCCAGTGTAAACATTGACTTGGCTAAGTGCTACTGAAGTTTCTTTTTTAAAACCCTCAGTCGACAATTTCTTGAGCATAATAATTTCCCCTTTTCACTGAATACACACCACCAAACTACCACTGAACAAGAAGAGTGAACTGATTCTTCCACTGTGACATCAGTTACTGCTGGGGCACTTAGATTTTCAGTCTGGGAAGTGCACTACCTGTAAGCAGCTACAGTAATCTTTCTCCAAGATTACCTGATATGAACGTACTAAGATAACTTGTTATTTCTCTGTGCATTTCACCATTTTGCAGTGATTAAAAAGGAAACTAGAGGAGGAAGTGCAGAAGAACCACAAAGGGACCGGTGACATGGCCCCACCTCAGAGGACTCAGCCCTGTCAGTGTCCCTCACACTGCAGGTAGTGCTGGTGGCAGTCACCATGCAGAATATAATGCTTTTGTGTAATGCAGAGATGCTCAAAAAGTAACAGTTTAAACAGATGTTTGTGTTAACTCTGTACCCATTAATTGCAAAGAACCTTTAAAGCAAATACTAATAGGCTTAAAACTAAAAACAAGTACAAGTGTTTTCCTTTTTAATAGGCTGTTTTGTACATGAAAGTACCAGCTGAAAGCATTCTGCACTTCTGCTCTATTCTGATTCTTTTAGAATGAGCTATAATCCTTTTTCCCTTTTTACCCGTTGCACCTATTTGCACCCTGATAGGGCAAAATCTTCACTACAACTGCCACAGGCTATTTGTGGACTTAAAAGACATTTGCGTGCATAAATGCACACAGGATCAGAGTCTCAGCCACCATCGTATTGTGACAAGCTCAGAGAATCCAGAACCCTGATCACCTTTTGGTGCTAAACTATGAGTTGGAAAATAAACACAAGGATTTAGAGGAAAGACCAGAACCCTGGGGCTGATGCTGTGACTCTGTGTGAGGCTGTGTTCCCAGGCAGCCCTAGACTCCTGGGAAGAGGGGTTCAGTACAGACCCCTAGACACTGAACTGGTTTATGAGAGTACCCCAAACTGCTGTGGCTTAGTCTTCTTTGCCACTTTAATAAAAAAAAGAAGAAAGTCTAGCTAGGAGCATGGACGCAGGGTAATGCATCATTTATAAATTACCTTGTTAGTGCAGAAAACAACACATGGCTCTGCAGCCGAAATCTCCTGCTGCGGACTCGCTCTGTTTGATGGGAGCCCTTCAAAAGCATTGGTGGCTTAATGGAGGCGGTTTGTGGGGACCTCGCTCCGTACCTGCTGTCCCTGTGCCTCGCCGGGAGCTCGGCGGCAGCTGCCGCGGCGTGCAGCTGTCTCTGAAGTGGCTGCGTGTCCTCAGCCCCAGCACAGGCAGCCTGCATTGGATCTGTGTTTGTGCCTGAGGCGAGCTGGGGAGCGCAGCTGTGTCCACCCCGCGCTACCTTTGGTGTTTGGGCCCCCGGGCCCCGCGCCGCCCCGACCTGCCCCACGCGCTCCTGCAGCTGCCGCCGCCCGCGCTCCCACGGCACCGGGCCCGCCACAGCTGTGCCCACAACCTGCCCGCTCGCACCTGTGCCGTGCCTGCCTCAAACAGCGTGGCTCGGACGACTTCAGCCACCATCAGAGCCTCCCGGAGCAGCCCGTGCTGCTCCGAGCCACCCTCGGCACCGCCGGGCACGTGGCACCAGTGGGACAGGACAGGGAGGCAGGAACAGCTTGCTCTGCTTTGATACTTCATGCCTAAATTGCAACTGCTTGATCAAGGACTCAAATTCAGCAATGAATTCTTCTACAAGTGGAAGTACTGAGTTCTTAAACAATAAAAGAAGGAAGATTAAATAGAACAACTCCACGACTGCTGTTTCCAAGGTAAGTGTTGCGTGTCTCGCCGAGCACACACATGCACTGACACAAACTCAGGGGTGCACCACGGCATCCCCACCCAGCACCTTAGGAACAAGGAAAAATATGTCATTTTTTCCCCAAGATACTCAACACCATGCAGACACAGAAATGGCACTCTTGCAGTGCCACAGGTCACACCCGACCCACCATTTGTTTAGTACAAATCCCACTCCTTTTTCTAAGAGCTATCTCTCTGTTTTCCACAAACCGAGGTGCTAGCCAGTGTTCCTCCTGTCAGGCCCAGAGAAGTCAGGTGTCTGACTGCAAAATGGCTCAGCAAAGCCTTCTCGAAAGGCAGTCCTTACAGTAATTCCCTGCCTTTAGGGTCAGAAATCCCCAAAACAGGGCCTGACTGACACTTTTTTTAGCCTTTTCAGGCACCACTTCTGCTGTGTTCCTGTTTACATTGAGTTTACCTGTTAAACTGTATTGTGCCAGGTATTTGGTGTGTAGATTCGCTGTTGTTAATGCTGCTCCATGTCACACGTATCCTTCATGTGTACAGTGAATAACTAGCCAAGGTAAGAACGCTAACACTTGGCCATTCTGCCTCTTCTACCAGTTGTCTTAATTAATTCTCACCTTCTCTTCCTTTACAACAGCACTGAACTTCATACCAGGAAAATAATCAAAATTCTCATTACCTCCCATTCTACCACAGGTAACTCCTCCCCCTTAACCCCTCTCATTCTTTTATGTCACTTTTATGTTGTATGTTGCATAAACAAGGTTCCTGCACACTTGTGCTCTGTGGTACATGTGATTGTGATCTCTTGCCATCCCATTTAAAGGGAAGCATTTGTTCCTGTGGCTCTTCCCAGGTGCCACAACCAGTAAGCTGAGTGATCCCAGGAGATGTGAAATGCCTTGATGATCAATCAGTTCCCAAGATAACTGCTGACATTCAAAGTGATACTCTTCTAAGGACTAGCCATCAGAAATACCCAATCTGGCCTCACTTCACTATCAAAGGTGCAAACAGCAGCTCTGCATCCCCATCAGAGCAGCCTTTGGGGGAGGCTTCTTTTTCCGGGGTCATGAGTGTCTCAGGAGAAAGGATGGTCTGAGAAACACATTTCCTCACCTTTTGTTCTGTGAAAGGTGCCTTTGGTATGGAAGTGCAAACCTCCAGGAAGCAACTTGCATGGATGTTAGCAGTGTCACATAAATTTGATCCAGTTTTAGCATGCTGATAGGCAGCCTCTGCTCTTACAGCCAGCTGGTTCTGAGAGAGATCTGGGTGTCTGCACAGAGTTATTACCCTGCATGAGGTGTGGGCTGTGTTGCTGTTTTCCAGCTCCCACCACCATTCCCTCTGCCTCTGGGAGACCTGCATTGGTGCCATGTCTCTAGGCCGGTGTGATGCACCTCTCACTGCATTGATTGCCCAGTGTGTTACTTTCCTGCAGTGCCACACTTTTGTCTCTCTCTTGCCGTGCCCAGAGCTGCCCAGCCCAGCCGTCCCTTGCCCGCCCCGCGCCGCACACCAACCTCGTCTCCTTGCTGGGGCCGCATCAGCGAGACTCTGTCGTACTGCCGCCGCAGCAGCGCCCACAGCGCGTCAAGCCGGCCCTGCGGAGACAGCACGGGCGTCTGTCAGCGGGGAGCACACCTCACCTGCACCGGGACTGGCCACAGGGATCCCAGGGACACTGACTGCCAGGACACAGCCAGGTCAGCACAGTGTCAGCCTGGGCTGCCTCACCCACAGCACGCTGTGGTGCTGCTCCTGCCCACCTGGAATGCCAGGAAGGGCACTCACCTAACGCACCTGCTCCCTGCTCGGAGCCATCTAGGAGTTGTGCTCTGTCTGCCATGGCTTGGAATTGATTGCCACACGTCCCTATAGAGTTTATCCCACGGGTGTGTGCTTGTTTTACAGCACACACTCAGGCCCTGTTGGGCGGGACACACACACCAGCTCTGCTGCGAGTCAGGAATGTCCTGCTCCACATGGATGGTTCCAGGGCTTGCCTGTGTGTCTGGACAACATGGCTTCAGGCTTGCTGGGGGTCAGAAAGGACTGACAGGGAGTTGGGAAGACAGAAGTATCCCTGCTCCCTGCTACACCTGTGTGTTCTCTGCTCTTACTTCTTAAAGCAAGGTATTTACAGACCCACCCTCAGTATGTCAGAAGCGCTTGTGACGGGTTTGCAGGTGACTCAGGGCACTGTTATTATGAGCCAGGAAAAACGATTCACTTTCCGTCAGATTTCTTCCATTACGTTGTTTTATGTAATTTTTTGCTTTTCTTGTTTTGCAATGAGTGTGCGTGTTTAAAACTTAGTGTTAACAGCTATAAATTGTGTAGTTTTGGGCTTAATTAGCTCTACTTTGAGATAAACCAAATGCCAAGGAAGCCCTCATAGATTTTAATGCTCTCACTGTACAATATGTCCCTTTCTGGGGGAAGGCAAACAGAATGTGGCAGTAATGATCAAGTACTGCATTTAGGGCTAAAAACTGCTCCTGCCATTCATGCTGAGTAGGTGTTCCCTTTGAGAATAGCACATCACGCTTGAATGGGAACACTTGGAAAATACTGCACAGTTCAGCCTGCGTAAGGCTGGCAAGACAGACAGAATCCAGCCTTTATAATAAATCATACCAAGGACTGAAAAGATTACCTTGATTGGCGTGTACCACTTCTGCTGCATGGCTGGTGAGGTAGGCTTTGGTTTAGGTGGTTTAGGGTGAAAAGGTTCTTCTGGTTCTTCTGGGAGTTTCACCACAGCATTCTTTGCTTTTTCCAACCTGGCCCCTTCTTCCGTGGAGCCTTTGTCACCCCAGCGCACCTGAGGAAAGGCAGAGTTCAGGTGTGAGTGCACTGCATGCACGGGGCAGGGAAATGCTGCAAGTAACAGAGGGATAAGTTTGGAAGAAGTTCTGGATAAACAGGAGGGGAGGTACTGAGGAAAACATTACCTCTTCATTATTCTTAGTTAAATATATTTGTAAATGAGTCTCTCAGTGGTGAAAAGTCAAGAAAAATACTGAAAGAAAATTCCACCATGCCTCACACCGGCTGTACAGGAGAAAAGGAATCTGGGAAGCCTTCTCTAAGTAAGGATGTAAAAATCTCATTTCCAGTTCTGATTTATCCTAAAATAAATACCAGACCTTGTGTCTTTCACTGTGATCAATGGTGGTTGTTACGTGGTTGTTAGAATGTATTTTAAACCACTTAGAGATAGAAGGTGGATCCCTCACTGATAAAATTACCTTCTCCTTCAGATTAAAGCCACTTCACCCAGAGGAAACCAGGATTGGTGAAGTCTGACAATCCGATTTTGACATAAAATGTATTGACTGTAATGAGTGGGGTCTGGCAATGCCATCACAGAACTTTAAAGCAATGCCAAAAGACAGAGCAAGAAGAGCAAACGGCACTGCCTAAGCTGTGGGACTGCCACAGAGGAGTGAAGCTAGTGGGGAAGGCAGGAGTGGATGGGTAACTGCCCCGAAAGGAAATGTAGGAGCAGTAAGGAGAAGGGTGCTGGATCATTTGCTCCTTTTCTCCATGCAGGGAAGCTGCTAGAGCAATCAAGTTGCTGGAGGAACAGCAGAAGAACAGAGGACAGAGAAGCAGTGAAAACCAGACAACTGTGTTGCCACACAGACTGCAAACAGGGAAGAAATGTCATGACTAGTTTAGCAGTTTTGTTGCTGGCCATAGCACAGAAACCACCTCTAACTGCCAGGTGAGGAATGACCTCCTTTGGACTGTGTTTGCTTTCTCTCTCTTCTCTGCCCTGCATTCTCTCCTGAGCCAGGGAGAGGTGTGAGGTCCTGCTCTCCCAGCAGCCTGAACTGAGCCCGTTTCCCAAGCCCCTGTCAGTGACACTCTGCAGGGCAGAGGCAAAGCTCCCCAGTCAAACCCTGAGTCACTCACCATGCAGTGCCAACCAAAGCTGTCAGTGCTCTGGGGTGCCAGAGAGGGACAGCGCCACAGCCCCACAGAACAGGGGCCCTTCGAATTCCCGTGACTGCACTGGCACCAGTTTCAGATGGTTCACATCTTTAGCCCTTAGTCCTTCACAAAATTCCTACCACAGATGAAAAGCTTTTCTAACCTAAGCATAATGTTCTGTTCTCTTTGTATTTTTGCCATGGACTGAACATGCATTTCTGTGTGGTCCTGATTTTACTTGTGTTGAGGAGGTTTCTGTCAGGTTTCTGTTCCATTGTGCAAGATCCCATTTACAGACTGGAATGGCTTAAACCCTGGAACCACTTCTGGAGCCTATCATGGCTCCCCTCAGAAATCCAGACTTGTAATTCTTTGTGTTGGAAAGCATTTGCTAGTTTGCCTCTGAAAAACACTGCACAAAATGGTTTTTTTGTGAAATCTGAAGCTCTTCTAAATTAGCAATTCTGAACTGCTGAAGGAAATGCATATAAGCAACACAGCTTCAAACCTGCATGTTCTGCTGCTGCATTTAAAAAGATCTAGAGCAAAACTGATTCTCTGGCCAATACCTTTAAAGTTTCATCAAGACACCTCAGGATGGCCTAGGTGGGTGTTTCAGAGAGAGACAGCTTCCTGGACTGCAGTTAAAAACTGCTTTGCACATTCCATAGAGGCTGACTTGACTATAAAACCTGCCATAAGGATGTGCCCATAAGGATGCACATTCTTCATTCTGTTTTAATTAACATGATGCTATCATGTCTCTTCAAAGACAGGCACTGTTGTCGCTGCGAGTCCCTCTGAGATCAGGCCTCTCCTCAGCGTCACCATTGTCAGCGCATTTGGCTGGCCCACACTTGGGGGACTTATGTTTCGCTGTAATTCCTTCCAAAACATGCAGAAAAGGCTCTCACTCTCTCTTTCTCATTAGCTTGATGGAAAGAGCATGTCTTGAGGCAGCTATTAAAAGTCCCAGTCAAATGGAACTACTGAAAGCCGTTCTTTCAGAGGCAAGGTCAAAATTGCTCGATATGGTAAAGAATTTTCCAGGGCTTATGCCAGTGGGAAGACAGGCACACATCATGGCCTTGTATTTTCAGTACACTTTCAGTCTTTGTTTCCACACTTGCAGCCTCAGAGAGCTCGGGTTTGAGGGTGATCACCAGATTATACCAACCTCCATCCTCTTAATTCCCCCAACTCCTCTTCCACCGTAGTAGGAAGCATCAACTGTAGGCCACTTCTTGGTAGGCAAGGGCTCCTGTTCTTCTTCCTGTCAGTACATTCAGATGATATTTACTTCAAAAAGATACCTACACACACACACAAAGTGTCTTTTCAGTATGTTTCACTGGAGTTCACAGAGACTAAGTTTGCCGCTGTTGGATGTGAAAGGGGCACAAACACCAGCAGAGCCTCCAGTGCATTATTGCTCCCAGGTGGGAGAGAAATTCCCTTGTGAAGTTCATAGTGTCTGGAATGCCAAAGCTGGGGGAAAATGCTGCTCAAGTTCTACATGAATCTTTAGATGTCGTACAAGGATGATTCAGTCTTTCTGCTCGCACTGCAGAATGGGAAAAACAATGTCCAGCTATCTTGGGATAAAGGCTCTAAATGTGTCTGTCGCTATGGGCCTTAATTCAGGCCACACTGAGCTGAGACAGAGCAGAGACCTGGACTTTGGCCACCACATTCTCAGCAGCACCCAGACAAGGGTGCTGGGTGCGCAGAGTGCGGGGAAGCACAGGAGTGGCTCCATGTAAGCAGTGTGATGAAATTAGAACCATCAGACTGTACCTCTTTCGGGGCTGGTGGAGGTGGAGGGGGATCCTTGATGACCTGAAAGAGCCAAACATAGAGAAGCATAAGGAGCTGCACTGGCAGCGGCCAAAAGGCAAGAGCACATGGTAAGAGTGAACTGTTTCCACCCATGCCCCCCATGTCTGCTGCCAGACTGGCAGCTAGCACTGCCTGGTCCCCAGGGCATTGACCACCAAGGCCTTCTGGAAATTAACACCATCCATCTGACAGAACATGCCATCCCTGGCCTGCAGACACTCTGGGCAGACGTGTCTGCCACTGCGCTTCCTGGCCGGATGAGCCCCAGCCACTCTCAGTAACAGCCAGTGCCGAGACCCCATGGAGTTCATTAGCGATCCCGGAGGAAGAGCATCCGAGGCCTGTGTGAGGGCCTGCGTGGCCGTGGGCCAAGCTGCTGCTGCTGCTGCTGCCATGCTGCTGGATAGTCTCTGGCCCAGTGACAAGTGTGAAATGCCTTCTGGCAGCTCAGGCTTCACCTCTGGACGTCCCAGACACTTCCGCGGCTCTCACAACTGAGGCCTGCAGCTCCTGACTCTGCAGGGCCTGCAATGGAGTCGTGCTCCCACACTTCTGACACTGCTGCCAGGATCATCCCTTACACCTCTTTATTTAAACCTCTCCCTACAGCCTCTTCCTGTTCCCCTTGTCACATCCACACTGTAAAGCTCAAGGAGTTCCCAGCACTGACAGCCTCGGTAGGGTAGAGGGAGGCAGGGACCCCCTTCAGTGATTCAGGTGAAAACTGAACTCACAGCTGTTCCTCCACGAGAAAAGCAGGTGTCTAAGCTAAAAATAAGTACTTTGGTGACATCAAGTCATTTTTTTGGGCTTGAATATTGCCTAGAAATGACTAAAAACTATCCCATGAATATAAAGGAGTCTGTTTCTGCTATGCCTTTGTATGATACAAACATACCTAAAACTGTCCATGCTGCCAAACACCTAAATCTCCTAATACAGACAGGATTAAGTACCTTAATTGAAATATGCCTTGTTTTATCCACTCTGTGCTATTAATTATAGCACTTTAATTTACCACTGCGTATAAACAATATCACTGCAGAGATGGTCAGCATAATACATGAAAGAAACACATTTTTCTTGACCAATAATCAAGACTTTTCTGTCTTGATTTACATTTTAACTTGCAGTGCCACCAAGACAGTTACTGGTTACTGCCTTAACAAGCTATGGACTTTTAGCACTACATACAGGAATTCTGCCCAGTAGGAGAACTAAGTCGTGGCACTCTTGGAACCAGTTTTCCACAGCACTCCAGGTTTAAGATATGGAATTGTTCATAAGGCAGGCTCAGAGTGCTTTGGGCGGATTGGAAAGTCAGCTATGGATTTTAACCACACTTCTGTTTGCTGCTATGATGTTGCAAAAACTTTCCAGAAATTATTTTCCTTTAAATAGTTCTCCATACTTTTTCTTCCCACCCATCAGGAGTTTCCAGATTACTTAGCAGAAATCAATTGTTTAATTAGTGAAACATTCCTGAGAGATACCTGGATGCTGAACAGGATTTTCCAAGTCAATTCAGAGACTGGAAATGGTAAACCAGGACTTTTGCTCCATGAAGGGCCACCTTATCTCACTTAATTCCTGTCCTTATTTCTCTTTTGACTGTCTCTAACCATTATCTCCAGTAATTTATTTCTCTGCCAAGCCTGCAAGCTGCACAGAGGAAAGGCCTCCTAGGCAGCAGATTTATATAAATCCACATGAAATGGCATTGTCACTCTGCTTTCTATAGTTGTGTTACTCTGAAACCTTGCAGTCTGATCACAGGTGGCTTTTGCCCAGCAAACTTCTCCATGGTGTGGGATGGAGATCCCGTGGGCCCTGTGCCCATTGGAATGTAGGAATCACAATTTCCAGCCCAGAGAATCAAGGGAAACCTGATTTGTTGACTTCTCTGTGGCTTCCAGAGGCAACAGTCAGTGGCAGCTTTTGCTTGACTCCCTAAGCAGAGGACCCTAAACCTGTGCCAGCTCCTGAGCTCCCTGAAGTTTGAGCGGAAACCTGATTTGAAGCCAACAAATCCATTAATTAGCTGTTATTTCTAATGGCTCCAGAAAATGAAACTTGTTTTAAAAGTGACAGTGGTGTGAGAAAATAATCTGCTTTGAATAGCAGCTCCTCACCCCGCTGACAGCACTGGAATGTCAATGCCTGCATCCTTATGCTTCCACAGGCTCACACACTCACACACTCAAATCACACGTGCACACATAAGGATTATTTTCAGTCGCATGATATTCCAAGTGAGATCAGTAGAAAGCTGTTTATAAAGAATATAAATCTGAGGCACCTGTGCAGCTCTGCATGGAGCTGCATGCAGAACTGCACATAGGAAGATGACAGTATTGTAAATTAACTTTTCCTGAGCTGGATTCAGATTGTTTAAATGCAGAAGCCTCTGAGAAAACTGCTGTCTTATCATCCCCATGGAGAGATGGGCTGCTTCCTCGTTTTGTTTTATCATCAGCCTCTCCAGGCAAGGCTCCATCTCATTTAGAGAGTTGCAAGGAATGAAGGTTTGAGTTTGGAGAAGAGCCGATTTCTTCAAAATAAAGAAGAAGAAGTTGGTGCTTGAGGCAGCAGTGCCTCTGATCCACTCATTAACACTTCCCCACTGCTCTGTGATGTGGGCATTAGGAGATGTCAGCACGGAGCCTGCAGCCAGCTTGCTGCGATCATATGTTCCATAGCGAGGGACGAGTGACAGAACTGTCACACTGACATACTGTAAAGGGCGGGAGGAATAAGGAAAAGGAAGAGGAGTCCCCCTGCCCCACCCTGGGAGTGTCCATGGGCCTCACAGCACAGAATGCTGCCGAGACCGAGTCCTGGCCAGGATGGAGCTCGGCCCGTGGGCAGGGGTAACGCACCCGCCGGGCTCCGGACTCTTGTTCTGCCCACAAACACCCTGTACCTCTTTCTTCTGTCAGATTCTGACTCCTCTGCTCCTTTGTCCCAGGAAACCAGGCACTGCCAGGGAAGCAGACCCGGAAGGAAGGAAGAACAGGTCATGCCTGGACCTAATGCTGCTTCTCTCCATGAGGACACTGCCCTGAAGCCCAGGACTACAGAGCCACAAGGGGCTGTTCCAGGTGATGTCCGAGCCTCAGGGGCAGGAGAGAGGGGCAGGAACAGAGGCACAGCACAAGAACCCAAGGAGCAGCCAGTAAGACCAAAGAAAGGGTCAGTATTTGGCAGTAGGTTCAGTGCAATAGCATGTGGGTTTGGAATTCAGTATCGTAGCAGAGGCCTAAAATTACCTTTTCTTTTAAAGAAACAAACAGTATCCATGAGAGGTGGGAGGAAACCACAGAGGACATGGACACTTGAAGTGCTGTGGTTTTGTATGGCTGGAAAGTAATACTATAGAACTATGCATTGGTTTGTCTTTTATTGTAAGATTTGGGCTTTTGAAACCAGTAAATGTGAAGCTGGTTTATGAATCGAGGTTAGGCAGTTATTTTAAATTATGAAAATAGGAAACTTTCTTCTTACTGATTTCCAATGTCCCTTTTCCACAGCAAGGCTCATGATATAAAGTGGGAGCAAAGTGACTGACAGAAACCTCCCTGTATTTCTGATGCTGGGCCTGTGCCGTGGAGAATGAGACACGAGAGAGGCTTTTTATTACAGAAGAGGTCATTGTTCTCGTCTCAGGAACCCCAGACCATGGGGGTGCAGATGGAGGCTGAGGACTTCCCGCCCTCGGACAGCCTGGGGCCCCACGGACCCCCCGGATTATGGGAGCTGCACATGGACAGGTGAGAAGGCCAGTTCCTCTCTGCCCCACATCCCACAGGCCCCAGACAAGACCAGGAATACAGACCAGCCCGGAAGCAATCTCTACTTCCCAAGTCCTCTGTGCTGTCGTTGAGCTGGATGAATAATAAACTTTCCCCATTTAACCCCCCCACCAAGGAATGCCAGGAGTCAGTGCTGAGCAGTGCTGCTGCTGGGGATAAAGAGATGGATGTGTGCAGGGATTATGAAGACGATAAGGGATTTCCAACTTGTGAGCCCATAATGGACTACAAATACCAATTTAAGTGACAGCACTTTTAAATTGGTCCTTGATTTCAGGGTAACATCTGCACACCATTATGGTCACCCCATCTCCAGGAACAGCACCATGCTGGTGCTGGTTCCCACACGTGCAGCTCACAGGCAGGCAGGGGCTCTGTCCAGAGCGCAGCCCCAGTGCTGGGGCTGGTCTCCCCATCCCCTTCCTGCCTGTCACAAGCCCCCCGCCCCAGCTGTCTCACGTCCCGTGTTGCTCCCCTGTTTCCTGCGGGATCTGTGTTTCCCACCCCTGACTCCCAGTGCAGTGGCTTTTCCCCACGGTCTGTACTTACCACTTTGCAGCACAGGGGCCAGAACCACCAGAGCAGGCCGAGTGCCACCAGCAGCAGCAGCACGAGGACGGCAATGAGCGCTGCCACACCACTGGACTGCAGAGAGAGCAGGGACAGCGTCAGCACGGGCTGCACAACTCTGCCTGGCTCACACACTCACCCCAAAGCCCAGGATTAGTTCTGCTCAAGTCAGGGATGCATTCTCACGTGAAACCGCTATAAAACTGATAATCCTGAGATCAGAATCAGGCCAAGCTAGATGAAAAGGGAGAGTGCATTGACTGCTAAGGAACGAGCCATTAGACACAGGCAGGGGAAGTCTCCTCAACCTGCGGATGAGAAGTGGCCTTTTCCTCCATGAGGACACAGGTCTGTATGGACTGGGAGTGAGGGGTAGATTTTAAGGCATCTCCAGTAACAGTACACATCCAAGGCTTTTATGCTGATCGCCCACACACCTGTACAGAGTGTGGCACACTAACTCCCTGCAGCAGTGCTGTTTGAACCTGGAACACTGCAGGAGTGCTCCTGCTTCCAGCAACACTTGTTGTAATGGAGAACTGAGCAGCCCAACTCCCACGCACCCCACACCTCCAACCCACTTCCTCTGGCACTTTTATTCCTATACTTGGGGTTTTAGAAAAATACTGACAGAAACGCAACAGTGACCTTAGGAAAACAGAAGTTATTCAGACTTCAGGTGGCAAAAAAGGAAAGGAGTGACCCAGAGAAATGCTGAGGCTGGAGTACAGCATGAGTAGTTCTGTCCCGGTGAGAAGGGTTGTACTGGAGGTGGAACGGAGCCGTATCCCCATGACCAGGTCGGTGCAGTGAGGCACACGGGTATGATGGGTGCCTCAGTGCCTAATGCTGTGTATTTTTGTTTGTTTTCACTGCAGCAATGTGTGTTTGCTGGGAGGCTGCAACTTGTAACTCATCTCCCAGCCAGCCATCAGCTGCTCAGCTCCCAGAATTAGTGAGCAGTTCTAGCAGTGACCCATTTCTGGAGCTGCCCATCTGCTACTATGGAAACAGCAACTCCTGTGTGGAGCTGCCTTTGCTGCAGCACAGGCCAAGAGCAGAAACCAAAAAGAGACAAAAAGGGCTGATGAGAAGCATGGCAGCTCTTCCTGCCCATGCACATCTGTACCCCTCTGCTTCCTGCCAGCGCAGGCTGTGACCACAGTGCAGCACAGTGGGAAGGCCGTGCCCAGCACTTCACTCTGATCTGCTCTGCATCAGGGCTTTGCTGTTACCTCTCCGTGCACTCCCAGCAGCTCTTACAGAGGCACAGACTCACCACATGCTGCCTTCTCTGCAAGGGCTGAGGTAAAGGCAGTCTGCAGCTGGGCTGCAGCAGGCTCCTGGGTGACTGCCCTCAGTCACCGTGCTTGGGTGTAAGGCTGGGATGTTGCCCAGTAAACTATGAACTGTGAATTGGGGAGTGTGTGTTCCTTCAGCTCCCAGCTCAGTCTGGCTTTACCTCCTCAAACCACAAGGCTGCACTGAGGCTCTGATTTCTGCTGTACCAGTATTGAGGTTTTAAACGAATAGAAGAAAAATGCCATTTTTTCTCTTTTAGGTTAGTGATCTACAGGCAAAAGCAATCCTGTTGGAGAAATGCAGGCTGACGAGCAGAAGGGACTGTTCTCCATGCTCCACGCCTGATGGGAAAGCTGCTCTCAAGTCACACTTCAGATGAGACACATTTAAAGGCACACGGTGCCCATGCACAGCACGTGTTAAACACTGGGGGCTTGTGTCTCCCTGCACAAATCCCAACTGTCCTGCCCACGTAATGGAGAGCAGACATGCAAGACTAGAAAATTGTATTAATGTATTGATTGTATAAAGGTACTAAGTTCAAACAGTCACTCTCTGCACAAGGGTGTGGTTTCTCCCAGAAGCAGTTTTAACTCTTTTCCGTAACCTGTGATCAGACTCAGCAGGATGTTCACCCTGCCTTACCCCCAGGTGCAACTGGGGTGCTCCAGCCTGTGCTTGGACTGCCTGTCTCCCCAAATTAACAGAGTTAAGAGCCTGCACTCGTTACTCAGGCTCCAGAGTTACGGAGCATCAGTACCCTCCTGCAGGACTGTAACCACCCTCCACACCCAGGCTGAAGTCCCAAGGTTCTGCCTACTCTGCTCCCCCTCCCTCCCTCAGGGAAGCCATGCTGGAATGGGACCCCCGGTGACTGTGTCACACCTGCCCCTTGGGACATGGTTATATTTACAGCGAGCAGGTCTCTGAGGGCAGGGAAGCCTCCCAGTATTTTGAAAGCCACAGCTTTCCACGGGGAAGTGGAATCAGAGATTCCCCGCACTGAGAGGTCTCACAATGGCCAAGCCCTAAGAGAAAAGGGATTTGGGAATTTTACACAGGATTGTGGTGGTCTTTTACTTACACACTCCGAAGCGGTGATGGTTAACGAGCTGGACATGAAAGACTGGCCTTCCTTCAAACTCACCAGAACCTCCAGGGTTCTGCAAAGAGAGAGAGAAAAAACATGAGCGACCGTGGAACAGTCAAGAAGGGCTCACACCTGCTCCAGAGGCTCCTGTACCTGAAGCCTCTGCTCTACAGAGAGTGTCCCCAGAGGGGAAATGGAGGCCTGTGCTTATTCTTGTTTGGGAGCAAGTTTGGTCTCCTTGACAGAGCTATATGAGTAGAGACTATCCCTCTCCTCTTTTCCGTGCAGCATAAAATACTCCCAAAAGTTTTACATAAAATAAATTGAAGTTCAACTGTAAAACCAGCATTGTTTTGTCTGTTCCATAACCGTCTCTTTAGTCACATGCAGGCATTATGGATAAAAATGTCGGATAATTATAGATGGTCAGGACTTGCTATAAATAGCCCCAAACACTGCATACAAATGGTATGTGGTTTACATTTTACAAATTAACCCTACAAGAAAACAACACATGGTGGATGTTAAACAGAAGAAGACTCTTCTCTGGCTTGGATTCCCAGGATTCAGACAGTTTATATTATGCATAGATGTAATTAAATAAAAATATAGATATCCATGAACTAAAATGATTAATCATTTATACCATTCTTACATGTCATGAGTTTTTATTCTGGCACAAACGCTTTAGTCAATATGGAGTTCAAAGCTATTTTAACTAATTTGGCTAATTTCTTCTTCATTGGTAGCAAAAATGAAGTGAGTTGCTTCCACTAAACTAATTTTTAAATTATCTGTGTCATGAATAATTGATCCAACAGAAAGAATAACTCTAATTTCTTTCTAATTATTACTGGAATAAGTGAATCAGAACAGATAAAAAAAAATCAATTCTCTTGCAGCACACTAAATAAAACAAGCTACACCAGAAATTTTGTCAGACGTGAATTTTTTTTAAGTGTGGTGCTTTTTATTGTTTTTAATTCCAGTGTTTTGCTTTGGCACTGCAATGAGGAATGCTGAGGGAAATTCCAGCATGAAGATTCTGCTCAGGTTTGGCCAAACACTCCCCTGATTGCAAGGCAAGAGTGTTTCCTGCCTTCCCTGGGGGAGAGCAGGACCCCCCTGTCGAGTGGCTCACACACTCCTGCAGCCTCCCTACTGGCCCTGTGTGCCCTGGCAGCCTCCTGAGTCCTGCCTGGAATGTCACTAGTGAGGAATCAGGCTGTCTTTGCTACGAAATGGAGCAAAACAAAAACCTGCAACACATCTGGATAAAACACGTAACCCACGCTAAAGAAAAGGATCGTTCCCAGGTAACTTGGGGATCTTGACAAGTCCTTAAGCTCGCTGGGATGTATGAAAAATTGGGTATAATAGCAAAGATTTCCAAGTGGACTAGAGCCCATGATTGCACCTTAGTGTTTGGTACACAGGGCTGGGATACATAATTGTTAATAATTATAATACATAATATCTGGGATTGCATTTCCCAGCTCCAGTGCCATGTGCCACCCTGTGCCTGCAGCTGTTTGTCCCCCAGCTCCCGCTGTCAGCGCGCTGACAGATCCCAGGGAGCAGGCTCACTGAGCAATGAGCTCCAGCACAGGCACACTGCGGGAGAACAGCCCGCTGCCCGACCCACTCCTGTCCTGATACACCGCTGCAGGGATGAGCCACTGGAGATGTCACTGGAGTTGATCATACCCGCTCAGTTCTGGAAGCCACAGAGTGAACTCACACAGATAATTACCTCATCTTCAAAAGGATGAACCTGTCAACACACAAAAGCACTCCTTCCCTGAGACTGTCATGGCTGTAGGGGATACCAAACGTGTTCTTTCATTTCTTCAGCAGCCACCTGTTTGCTGGGCTGTGTGTACTTGCCATTCATACAAACACTGCCCTTTAAACCAGAATCCCAGAAGGAAGTGTCCTGTTTCTGCTGCTCATTCACACACAGCCCAGAGACAGACACAGACACAAACACCTCTAGTGTTTACCAGCAACTGTCCACGTGTGTGAGGCTTTTAGCTCAGCACTCTGCAGAAACTGCAAATATTTTGAGAAGAAAACAATATGCAGCAGCCATGCCATTTCCTGGGCCTTTCAGTTCCCACTGGTGACAGTCAGTGTTGTCTGAGGGCTGCATCCCTTCAGCAGAGCTCAGAGCAGCCAGGTCACCAGGGAACGTTCCTGTCCCTGAAGCCAGGCAGCCCTCGGGAACAGTCCTGGTTCTCCAAGGAAGGGTTGGGCTGTACTAGTTTTGTACCAGCACAGAACCCAGCTGAGGGCTGAGCTCTGGAAAGCCCTGGAAAGCTCTGGGAAGCTCCCACAGCTTCCCTCAGGACTTCCCAGATAAACCCCCAAGATTCGGGCAGTGTTCTGCAGCACCCCAGGAGCCCTCCCACTGCTGCCTGGCACCAAGGACATGCGGAGTCGAGCGGCTCCTCTCCATGTAGGCAGACACACAAGGCTGCAGGAGCCAGGCTCCAGGGAAAGGCAGCACAGCCTTTCTCACACCTCCTCAAAACCCCAACAGTGCCCAAAGCCAGCAGCTATTCAGGGCTTGGAGCCAGGACGCTCCTTCCCATCTTCTGCTCCCTTCAGACACAGCACTTGAGTGAAGTGGATTCAAAGAGCTGGCAAATGAGCACGAGTAATTACTGTGCTGTGCAGCACAAACCCTATTTCTCTGCCTCTACCTCAGCCCCAATGTGCACTTTTCCAGTGGTCTGTACTTCAAACCCATTTCACTGTACTAGGAAAAACTGGCTTTCATTTACAGTTCACAGCCCTTGCTCCATGTGGAAGGGATTTTCCTACCCTTTGTCCGTGCAGTGTTACTTCTTGGATGGGAATCAATCCTGGAAAACTTAGTCTGAAAAGCACTTTTTAAAAATGTTCTGATTTCTGACCAAAGGTAACCACAAGACTCTTGCAACTTTAAGCTGGCCCATCACCCGTTCTAATAGACAATTTACCAAAATATGTAACTCAAGGCAAACCAACAGTTGCAGTTCTTTCCTTCATGCCCACTGCTGGTTTATTGTGACAGCAGAGGGATGTGGCCCACTGCCATATGTCCCTGCAGCTCTGGGCTAAAGCCTCCCATTCCCTGTGAAATACAGCTGATATTTCCATCCACAGTAACCTATTTGCAAAGTATTCATTTGCTCCTTACTTTATAGGGAGCCACTAAAAGACTACCATTTTATGACCCATTAAAAAAATGAAAAAATTAAATACAATTGTGAAAGACATTTGCTGGAAGTAATACATAATTTACCTCCAATTTTCACGCACTGAAAATTAAACTGGCAACTGCTCAAAAAGTTACTAAAATTATGGTGACAAAGGTATTTCAGAATCAAGTGCCTGCATTAAAATAGCAAAAATGCTGTACATAATAGGAGGGAAAAAAAAGGTCTATGTATTTAATGGACGCTCTCCCTTCCAAGCCCTGCCTTTGGATTACTGGATAGCTTAACTGTGTGGGCTCCATTTGACCAATGTCACTTTGAAACCCTTGGCACTGCTTGCTGGGGCACAACTAATATTCAGCCCTCCCTTCTCTCCAGCCCAAGCAGAGAGCCTAAGGCCAGTTGCATAAGGCAGGGAAAATTCCCCTGGAGCAGGGCTGCAGCCCTGCCTGCCACGTTCAGTGCGGTCCCACTGCGCCACAGGCCGGCTGTGCCTGGGGAGCACTGGGACCAGTTTACTCCAGTCGATGGGAACTGTGCTGGAGACAGGACATGACCTGCAGTTGGGATAAATGGTCAGAGGTGTTTTCTTCCCACCAGTCACACAGACATAAAAAGGAGAACTGAGTATTCCCTGAGGACAGCAAAACCTGCTAATCATGGAAATCATTATGGCATTTGGGGATTCTGGTAAAGAATTAGTATAAACTCTTCCCCTAGTCTGTCCTGGTGTAGCTTAGCACTTATACAAATTCAGATTATGGTTCTTTAGGATGCTGTCCTGTTAACTTCAGAACCCTTTATCTTTCCCAGCCACATGTGCAATGTACTGGCCGTCTGGGCTTAGCTTTCCATGGGAATGGACACAAGTGCAGAGAGAGAGCCAAAATTTCACTGCTGGGAAATGCTAGGGAATGTGAGAGAACTAGAAGCTAGCGAGGAATTAGCTCTGATCTCATGGAATGACAGGAACCTGCAATAAGAGGGTATGAAATGTCATTATTATGTTAAATTAGACTATTAATTCAGCTCGGGATCCTATGGCCACCGCATAATGTGCAGCACTTAGTTCTGCTCACGTGCTCTTCGCTAACGCTCTGGGAACACTGTGTGCCCTAGGAGGGACGTGAAGGACTGTGCCAGAAATTACTACTGATCCTAACACCACAGCCATATGGCTGAGGGGGCAGTTAGCCTATACAATTCATTGAGGATGTTTCCATCTGTGAATAGTTCCCATTATAACCTAATTGTGTCAAACTAAATGCATTTCTAAAATATTTTCAGAAGTTAACATTTATAACAGATATTAAGCCTAATCCAGCCCTATTTTTGATTTCCCCCCACCTGTGCTTATCTCTCTGGCTATTTTGGAGGGGAGAAGTTGTCCCGTGTGAGTACCAGGGATTGGGAACCATACTGTTTTTTATTTTTGTTGGAACAAAATGCTTGTGTAGGGATAAAATAGACAGTGCTGAAATGCCCAATCGCAGTGAGTTTGCAAAGGAAGGAATAAGTGCAGGTGGAAGCAGTTGTGATCCACGGCAGCTCCCTGCCCAGTGCTGCAGGGGAAGCACAGCTGTTTGCAATGAAGGATAATGCCAATATCCCGTCAATGGGTGCATTAGCCATGGGCACTTCTGTGATGGGGATGTATTGCATTCACCTGAGCACAGAGGCTCTACAGTGGGGAAAAGAACAGGTAAATAGGTTAAAACAACCTGGCCTGGAGCTGGCATCCCGCCAATTGGGGAGCAGCAGGAAGTCAAAAGGGGGAAGTGCAGCTTGCTGCCTTTTGTGCTGGGAATGGCTGCAGTTTGTGTCAGAGAGCTGCCTGGCTGCTGGGTGACAGTGAAGCTGGAAGAGGGCTGAGGAAGCCTGGAGTTCATCCTGGGGACTAGAACCTCCTCCCGCAGCAGTAGGAGCCTGCTTGCTCTCCTTCCCAAGGTACAGTTGGGTTCTGTTGTGGTTTTGCTTTTTCATAGTAGTGACCAGTGCTACATGGAGTGGGAAGTACCTCATTCAACATGCTGCCTCTTAGGGCAATCCAATCAAATCCTCATTTTAATTGCTCCCCTTGTCTCTGCATATGCTTTCTCCAAGTGATATGTAGTTACCATATAGGTTTTAGACTAAGGATGAGACATAGAAAATTGGTCCTTAGAACCACACTTGAATAGTGACACCAGCTGCTGAGCTCTTGAGTGGCTCAGTACTCTGCACAAGCACTGCCCGTTACATTAATGACAAATTCAGCTCTGTGGCCAAATGACACTCCTGCTTTCATAGCCACAAAGGCCATGCTAAGGCTAGTTAGTGAACAGCACCACAGAAAGAGCTTGGTGTCACTTAGTTGGAAAGAGGACAGAAATGCTCTACACACCCACAAAATATTAATCCATTCCTGAGTGACCATGAAAACTACAGGAGACTGAGCTGCACTTTACAAATACCCTTTCAAAGGCACTGCTTGGTGCTTGCAACAAGTTTCCTAAAATGTTACCACTCTCAGCAGAGGAAGGAAGTGACAAAATAAAAATAACAGTAAGGCTAAGCCATAGCAAACAACAGTAAATATGTCCTCCTCTGGTTTTCGACTACTCATTTCTGTGTTACAAGGGAACTCAACTAAGCTCCCCACAACCTTTCTCAGCGCTCATTAAGGCAGGTAAAGAGAAGTTCTATTCAATTTAATGAACCTGACTAAGTTCTGGACCTGCTTGTCTGAA